GTTATTGTTGTTGCACAAGGTTTCTGCCGTGCGGTTGTTATTGTGTTGCACGAGGTTTCTGCTGTGCTGTTATTATTATTGATACGCATACGGTGGTATAAGGTCTGGGTGTTGAAACGCATGCGGTGAGATAAGGTGGGCTTGAAACGCGTGGCTACTAGGGGAACTACTAGAAGCCATGCAGTGTGATAAGGTGGGCTAAAACGCGGGATGCTATTTCGAGAAAATAATTTTCAAAACTAAATATAAAGGCTCCCGTGGTGATATAAGAAAAGTTGTGGTTCATTTTATGATTTGAGACTACGAGGCGGTACCTCGAGAGGACTCTTGTTGTCATTTCCCCATTCTTTTGTACTTGTCTTTGATTGTTGTCTTTTTAGCATACTATTAATTGTCTTCCTCCGTGTTGTACTATTTGCTCAGTTCTATGTAGCTAATCTTATTGTGCTAGTCGCCGCTTCAAACTTCATTGTTGCCTTTATGATACTCTACATTTCGTGGTGATCGTTTCTTATGTGCCATTCATTGTATCTTCTCTTATTTGTTGACTTGAATTGTGGTAGAGCACTTGCACAAGCATACACATAATTAAATCACACATATCGATTTTAGAAGATGAATCCTGATGACATTAGCCATTATACGTACTCTTATCAACTTGCCTTCTGTGTGAGGATTTTTCTATTGGCACGTGAGTCGTCCGTGCGGATATCAGTTGTAATGTGGGCACAAGATGCCAAGTGATTAGGGTTCGTGAATTGGGACCCGTGAGCTGTGATTATGAGGTTCAGTACCTCGTGGAAATGCTTGAACAGATCTGGTGTGAAAGTGGTTATTCTGATTGAGTTGTTGTTGGTTTTCCTCTATTTGGTTTCATCAGACTTTGTCACGACCCGGATTTCCCACCCTCAGGAGTCGTGATGGCACCTACTCGTGAAAGCTAGGAAAGCCGAGTATTATAAATTCATTACCCTTTTTATTAAGCATGTTCAACAATTCAAAGTAATAAGTGATTAAACAGCGGAAAATAATTAAATAACCAGAAATGCGGAAGACGGAAACTTAATAGTTTAACCAAACATTGCTACATAATCTGACGTACAATACTACCCAGAATTTGGTGTCACAATTTCACAGACTGTCTAAGATTACTACAAATAAAGGTCCGAAAAATAAATGCAAACTGTTTCAGAAATACATAAATGAAACAATAGAGAAAGATAGGAGGAGAAGCCAAGGCCTGCGGACGCCTGCAGGACTACCTCGGGTCGCCTAAATGAACTGAAGACAGCACCCTCACTGCGGTCCAAACGCTCCGGTATCAGTATCTACACACAGTGCAGAGTGTAGTATCAGCACAACCAACCCCATGTGCTGGTAAGTGCCTAGCCTAACCTCGGCGAAGTAGTGACGAGGCTAGGACCAGACTACCAAATAAACCTGTGCAGTTAAATCATATACAGCGGAAAAATAAAAGCAGATATTGACAGTTAAAGATGGGGAGGGGAAGGCATGCTACGGGGAGTATCAACTATCAGATAACAACAAAATACTAAGTAGGAATGTAGAGAAACCATAATTTAGTTGCCAACAATATTGAGGAAAACAAACACAGTATTTACTTTCATTTCTTTCTTGTTGCAGGCGTGCAACCCGCTCCCATTTCATATATTACCGTTGCAGGCGTGCAACCCGCTCCCATTTCATATATCTCGTTGCAGGCATGCAACCCGCTCCCATTTCATATATCTCGTTGCAGGCGTGCAACCCGCTCCCATTTCATATATTACTGTTGCAGGCGTGCAACCCACTCCCATTTCATATATTACCGTTGCAGGAGTGCAACCCGCTCCCATTTCATATTTCAAAACTTTTCATATTTCAACACCAATCATAGAAGAATCCCGGCAAGGGAACAATAAGACAACAACAATATCCCGGTAAGGGAACAATAATATAATAACAACATCCCGGCAAGGGAACAATAATATAACAACAACATCCCGGCAAGGGAACAATAATATAACAACAACATCCCGGCAAGGGAACAATAATATAACAACATCCCGGCAAGGGAACAATAATAGAACAACAATATATTAAGCATGAATAAACCAGACGGAGTCACAACAATTACAATACAAGACTCATGGGCATGCTTGACACCGACGTATAGATACTCGTCACCATGCCTATACATCGTACTCCACAATTAACACATAGCAAATAAAATACAACTCCTAATCCATCAAGCTAAGGTTAGACTAAACACTTACCTCGATGCCATGAACACAATTCAAGCCTCAACTATCGCTTTACCTCTTGATTTCACCACCAGTTCGCTCGTATCTAGCCACAAGTTACTTAACTATATCAATAAATGCTAAATGAATCAATTCTAATGCATGAAAATAGATTTTCTAGAGTTTTTCCCAAAAAGTCAAAAATCAACCCCGGGCCCACATGGACAAAACCCAAGGTTCGGACCAAAACCCGATTACCCATTCACCCACGAACTCAAATATATAATTTGTTTTGAAATCGGACCTCAAATCGAGGTCCAAATTTCCAAAATTTGAAAAACCTAAGTTCTACCCAAAACACCCAATTCTCCCCGTGAAAACCTTTGATTTTGAGTTGAAATCATGAGAAAAGATGTTAAGGATTAATAAAAACGAGTTAGAAATGACTTACAATCGATTTGGAAGAGTACTTGTCTTTGAAAAATCGCCCAAGAGTGTTTAGGTTTTGAAAGGGTTTGAAAAATGATTGAAATGCGTCTAAGTTATATTTTGCAGGTTGCAGTGTCGCAATTGCGACCAGGGTTCGCAATTGCGAACCCCTCAGACTGCTAACTTTGCATTTGCGAACAGGGGTTCGCATTTGCGAACCCTGAGGAATACAGTCCTCTTCGCATTTGCGATACTACCTTTCGCATTTGCGATGTCACATTTGCGACAATTACATCGCATTTGCGACCAAGGCAGCCCAGGCCACTATTCGCATTTGCGAGCCAGGCTTCGCAATTGCGAAGCCTGCAGGCCTGCAACACACCAGAAATTCCTAAGTCCAAATTTCACTCCGTGGCCAATCCAAAACTCACCCGAGTCCTCGGGGCTCCAAACGAAACATGCACACTAACCTAAAAATATCATACGGACTTGATCGTGCATTCAAATCACCAAAATAACATCAACAACTATGAATTTAGCATCAAAATCAAAGAAAATCTCAAGAACTTTCAAAGTTTCAAATTTTACAACTAAGGTTCCGAATCACGTCATATGACCTCCGTTTCTTACCAAATTTTACAGGCTCAACTTAAATCACATATAAGACTTGTACCGGGCTTCGGAACTAAAATACGGGCCCGATACCATCGAATTCCAAACACATTTCATTTCCAAAAACTCATATATATTCTAGAAAACAATTTTCTTTAAAAAATTTATTTCTCGGGCTTGGGACCTCGGAATTCGATTTCAGGCATACGCCCAAGTCCCATATTTTCCTACGGACCCTCCGGGTCCGTTTACCTAAAATGTTGACCGAAGTCAACTTAAATTCATTTTAAAAGCAAAATTTATTATTTTTCACAAATTTTTACATAATGGCTTTCCGGATGCGCCCAAACTGCGCACGCAAATCGAGGTGAGACAAAAAAGAGGTTTCAAGGACTCGGAACATAGAATTTATTTCTAAAACAAGTGATGACCTTTTGGGTCATCATAGACTTAGACTGTGATCAGCTTACTCTACAGCATTATTACCTGACTGCTTCCTGATAAATATCGTTGTTGCTAGTGTATCATTGCAAGTATTGTTTTGTATACTTTATCTTACTTAGCCTTATATTAATATTGTTTCTCTGTTAGTTCACCTTCACACTTGCTCATATTGTTTAGTCTGGTAGGTGTCTTAACTGCCCCTCGTCACTACTCCACCGAGGTTAGTCTTGATACTTACTGAGTACCGTTGTGGTGTAATCATACTACGCTTTTGCATATTTTTATGCAGATCTAGGTGCCTCGGTTATTGTTGATTATTGGCTAGCTAGTCGAGCATTGCTATGGAGACTCAAGGTAAACCTACCGTCGCGTTCGCAGGCCTCGGAGTTACCTTATGATATTTTACTTGTACTGTTTAATTCTATTCCGAAAAGTTGTATTTAGGGATTTTCTAGCAAACTCAGTAGAGATTATGACTTGTACTACCAGTTTTGGGTTTGTAAGTTATGTATAAAGATTTCTATTTCATATTTATCAGTTGCTGGTTGAATTCATCTATTAATTTCGTAAGTGTTAGGCTTACCTAGTCTTAGAGACTAGGTGCCATCCTACGGAGGGAAATCCGGGTCGTGACAGGACTGGTTCGCTGGTGACAGGCTACGACGTCAAATCCATTATTGAATTCTCTAAAGAAGAAGAAGAAAAGTAAAGAGAAGCATAGAAGATCTAAAGAAGAGAGAGAGAGAGAGAGAGAGAGAGAGAGAGAGAGAGAGAGAGAGAGAGAGAGAGAGGGGAGGGAAATTACTGAAATGTGTGATACTCGGTTACCAAATTAAAAGGCTACAATCAAAGGATACTCAATTAATACTAATTTGTATAAAATTAATAAATTGTATATCAACTTATTATTAAGTTAAAACCTCAATAGTGAAGAAAAATAAGTCTCAAAATTAGTATAGCTAAGTAAAAATCTCTTTTGATTAGGTGTACACCATTTCCCTACACATTGCATCTTCAGCTCAAATGAAGGTTGTTAATTCGGACCCTTACAATATTATAGTTGCTATAATCCATATTACAATAAATTCTAAAAAAATGAATTTCATTATGTGTGTTTGATAAAGAAATAATTGTCAGAACATCTTTTACTTCAAAAAATTTGCAGCGCTTGTTACTCTGCCCAACAGGGGCGGCTCAACGAATTTGGTGGCCTAAAGTCAAAATATATTAAAAGACCCTTAAATTTTCATAAATCTATACGATAAGGAGAGATAAAGAAACCCATATGATTTTGGTCCAATAGTAAGAGCGCAACGAATAATGTGTAGGTTACACTCGCATCATGATTTCAAACTCCTCCGTCTGACAAAAAACATGACATTCAAGTGTTAAAGAGCAGTAGGGTGCGCTTATTATCCATCGAGTTCGAATCTTGCGCCACTGCCTTCCAGAATATCTTAGTTTTAAAAAGTCAGTTCACAGGGACATTGTTATCCGACGGAGGACTTTCTTGTAATCTTATTCTACAACCATAATTTTATACAACCAGCCTTGAGGTAATGTCAGTTCATGTAGAGATTTGCTGCACATATTACATTTAACAGGGCATGCAAGACTGATCCCAGTAACAGATCAGTTTCATCTGAATTTGCCGAGGTCGGCCAACTAAAAAGCTCAACCTTCCATGTTCTCATGGTGATGTCTCCGACGCCTGCCTTGAGACCGTCTGTGGCTATGATTATGCCTCCTAGGAAGCGCGCTAGGTGCATCAGGACGACGACTCTCTTCGGCACTCACTTGATGTCCGAGTATGCAATCAAATGGGTCTTCAGTTGACTCTAGAGGAGCAGCAGCAGCACCATTTATCTACAATTTTCAATACAAAGCCTAGTAAAAGTAACTCAAAATGATTCTACTATAATGAAGACTAAAATGATTTATTTTTGACAGACAACGGAAGCAATGATTTTTTATACTCATTTAAACAGAGAGCCCCCAATTTACTCAATAACTCTGCCGGAGAGGGCAGCCTGCATAAAGATAGGATAACCACCATTTGATACTTGTCATTAATTCTACAATCATGTGCATATTTGGTTTATCTTGTCCCCGATCCTACTATGTCCTTGCACAAACAGGAAGACCTCCTGGCCCCAATATCCTTTGATCTTCTTCAATGTTATATAAAAGAGCAGCAAAGGAGTACTCACATTAACTTGCTTTCTCTCAAGATTAGTGTTCCTCGGATCAGTATTCTCCAAATGGGTTTTCTTACTGGAGGAGTCATCACCATCCATCCTATGAGAAGAAAAAATTTCCCCATAGGTACTCCGGAAACGCCATCTTGGTTTTGGCTGGTCTGTTGAATCATCATCATAAACATTTTCAGAGTAAAAGTATTTGCAGACATGCTGTAATACAGGCGGATTACGCTGGTACTTCCTCAACATTCTATCATGAGAAAATACACATCAGTAAATGTTAAAATGGATCACGCTGATATCCCAACTTCTATCTTGTTAGAATACTACATCACTAGTTCATACATGGGATGAAAAGAAAAAGAAATTACCATGATACTATTCACATGTAGGAGCAAGATGACAAGATACACAAAATTCCACAAGTATCAAAGATTTATTTCAAGAGAAGTTTATTAAAATCTTTCCACTTCTAGGGAATATGTCCTGAAAGTGAATCATTTTCTTTTGGCCAAATACATAGACAGTTGAAGTTGTAAAAAGATTTCATCTGAACACCTAAAATGAGCTCCTGGCCTATTGAGCACTCGAGCCCATTCAAAATGTACCCATTAGGCACCAGGTGGTGACACGGCAGAAAGCGTGTCTTGCACCCAAAGTTGAGGGCATACAATAATGGTTTTTACTAAATTTTTTGTAGTTTGGCAGGAAAATGTTTTTCTGGACATTCTCTCTCTCTTTTTAATAACCCTTGTTTTCCAGATTCAAACCCATTTTCTCCAGTTATCTACAGACCATTTTTCCTTCTTTATCCAGCCGTTCCAGCTTTAAACACGTTCCAGATTCAAACCATTTTTCGAATTCAAACAGTTTTTTACTTGTTAGAATCTTGCTCTCTTCTACTCGCTTAAGATTTGGAGTTGTTATCATTTCTTTTGCCTCGCCCTCTACACACACAGGTCATTTCACCCAGCTAGTACATAACTTAGCCAAAATAGCAAGGACTGTATCTATCAGAATACAAAGGTACTTGATAAAAAGGGAACAGATTTGAGTCTTTAACCAGATTTAAGCAGCAGACAAGCATAAATAGAGGACTAGGCTTCAAACATGAAGTGCTAAAAGACAGCACCATCCAGAACATGGCTATATAATCTTGCATTCTTTTTGATTAGTTTATGTTAGAAATTTGTTCAAATAATAAAACATTACAAAGAGTATAAGGTGTCTTTTAATTGAAAGGATGTACCCTATCATTATTCTGTAATCACTAAGTAGTATATAACTACAAGTAGCCTTGTTTTTTAATTAAAAACTTCTTATTCCAACGTTACCTTTGGCTCACCAGAAAATTTCCTCCATTTTCACCATTCTTCACATTTTCTTTCTTGTCAAAAAGATCAAGTTGAGAGTTCTTGCTTATTTTATATTATTTTTCATATACTTCTCCAATAATCTAAAAGCGATATTTTACTATGACGAAGATATTTCCTGTTTTGGAGAATTCAAGAGAGTGATTGCATGACTTTTCGGAATAGCAACCAATGCTCTTCTGGAATATAAAAAGCCTATTACCAATTGTCTGGAAACATTGTTGATTTGAAGTGAAACAACACTTTTAAATGGAGAGTGTTGGTAGTTAATTCCTGCAACTATTTAGAATATATACCTCTCTTTCTAAATAGTCATGTCCGTTGGAATTTAACTTTTGAAATAACCATAATAATGATAAAAGTATAAGGATTCTTCTTAAATTTTAAGTCCCTGCTAACTCTAACAGCAGAGACAAAAGAGACTTTGAAGCACTAGAACTTCATTCGTATCTTGGGCAGTTTCTGCCTATGAATAGCCAGAAATTGGCTCTACAGGGGCGCTGGCTGATTTGCCAATATTAGTTGGGCTATGCATAGCTGAAATTTGGCTCGGCAACACCATTTGCAGATTCTTCAATAGTCCCATGCCCCAATTGATTTTTTCTTGAAGTCTCCTTATCATTTTTCACTTCAAAATCACAAACTATACAGCAATACCCCACTAGTCTGAAATATTACTCCTAATATCATGCATTATAGGAAGTATCTAGTAGATTTTAACTTCCCACTAGTGTAAATATTTTAAAATGTAGACAAAGTTATTGGTGTTACTAAGATTAGAACCATAACTCACTTGTGCCTAAACCGAAAATGATATTATCCAGCCACTTTAACACATTGGTTTGCTCAAGCACTAAAAGATATTCACTGTTATGGAGAATTAAGAAGTTTAGCGATTTGGGTGATCCATTTACTAAACTTCTTAATTCTCCAAATTAGTGAATATTTTCATAATAAATATCGCTTTTAAATTGTTGGAGAAATATATAAAGAAGAACACAAATAACATAAAGCCTTGAAAAACGTCCAAAACGCTTTCCTAAAAGCGATATTTGCTCCCTCTCCTTATCGAGGTTGCTACGGGTTAAATGCAAATAGCTATAGTGGATATGACAAGCTTTTAAATTTCTATACTAAGCAAATAGCTGAAAAATACTAATAAGAAAACAAGAACTCTCAACTTGATCTTTTAGACAAGAAAGAAAACGTGAGGGATGGTGAAAATTGAAGAAGTTCTGGTAAGCCAAAAGTAACGCTAGAATAAAGAAGTTTCAATTAAAAAACAAGACCATTTGCCGTGATATATTACTTCGTGGTTACAAAATAATGGATAGGACACATCCTTTTAATTTAAAGACACCTTATATTCTTTTAAAATATTTTATTATTTGAACAATGCTCTAACAGTCTATTGAACAATGTTCTTTTAAAATATTTTCCATGCACACTATTTATGTATTTCAACGCGTCGAGTGTGAACATATTTCTATACTTGGTGGAAATAGATGTGATATATATATATATATATATATATATATATATATATATGTGTGTGTGTGTGTGTGTGTGTGTGTGTGTGTATTTGAAGTTAAGAAACTCTGGTCGTACTCTAGATTATGGCATATTTTAAAGTTTGACGCTCGAGGACAACTTACACATTTCTCAATCATTCTTATCCTGAACTGAAGCCAAAGAAAGTGGCAAAAGAAGAAGAAAATTGAGAGAATACAAGCGTAGCATAACTAACCAGTAAATGTGTCCCTACCGCAAGTTGAATCCAGACAAATAGCTCAGAGAGATAAAGATGTACCTATGCCCCAAGTTATCGAGTACTAAGGCTACTCAAGGATATAGATCTTGAGTATACAACTATTTATCAGATGGGAACAGCATGACATATTCTGTCTTTGTCAAAGGTTTAGCATCTTTCTCATTCAAATATCCAGAACTATAAAGTAATTTGAAATTCTTGATGTTGCTCCCTTGGGTTATAAAGGTAGCTGTCACCAAGGATATTATTTAGATTGATAATTAGTTCCGACATTTTGACATGGTACCTCACTCTAACACTAATGGTGACAAGTATGACTTGTTAGTACGATCAGGCCAACTGATCAAGCTTAAAAGATGAAACTTGACCTCCACAAACTGATACATAACTAATAATAAACCATATAGTATTTATTATTGATCCAACACTTTACATGATTAGATATATTCTAGTTTCCTCCTCATAGTACATCATTCTTCATATTTTACAGGGTTGGTAAACTTCAACTTCTCAAGTAACCCATATTAATATGCACATCTTTTTAATTCAAATTATTTCAGGGAACCTTGATGCAAAGATGTTGTAATGCACATCTTACGACATCTAATTAATTCAGCTATCTTATATTAAAATAATTCGGAACCCCCATAACCTGCTTTCTTTGCTAAATATCTTTCACGTTAACACCTGTGAACAATTAAATTCAGGCAAGTAATAATCTTGCAAATCTTACCCCCCCCCCCCCC